GCGCCTTAGCCGGTTGAGCTATAGGCACTGAGCCCACAATTTCAATTATTCACAGGAGAACAAAATAGTCTAAATGCCATTCTATATTTTTTACAAAGCTATTTCAAGGCTGGATATGGTGACTAACCCATAGCACTCTGTATACGGGCCAAGGTGGGTGTATCACTTGAGCTCACAAGTTCAAGACCAGCCTGAGCAAGAGATCCCATCTCTTTAAAAAAAAGAAATAGCCAGGTGTTGTGCTGGGCACCTGCAGTCCCAGCTACTTAGGAGGCTGAGGCAGAGGATTGCTTGAACCCAAGAGTTTGAAGTTGCTATAAACTATGATGCCACAGCACTCTACCAAGAGCAAAATAAAACTCTATCTCAAACAAAAAAAAAAAGTTATTTCAGCCTAATAGAAATTTATCTTATTAATAAAAACAGGCAAAATCTATACTGAGTAGTTCTGTTTTCTGGGCATTATTAAAAAAAAAAATAGAAATGATCAAAGTTTGTTTATTCAATGGGTCCTATTTTATAAACAGCACATCTTACTAAATCTGAAGCACTTTAATTATAAAACCTTGGTTCTGTGATGCCATTTCTTCTCTTAAACTTTTCCACTCCTCATTTCTTTGTTGTTGTTGTTGTTGAGATAGTCTCGTTATGTTATCCTCAGTAGAGTGCCATGGCATCAGAGCTCACAGCAACCTCAAGCTCTTGGGCTTAAGGAATTCTCTGGCCTCAGGCTGCCGAGTAGCTGAGACTACAGGTACCCGACACAATGCCCAGCTCTTTTTTTTTTTTTTTTTTTGCAGTTTTTGGCCAGGGCCAGGTTTAAACCCACCACCTCGGGTATATGGGGCCAGCGCCCTACTCCTTTGAGCCACAGGCGCCTCCCACCCCAGTTATTCTTTGTTGCAGTTGTCACTGTTGCTCAGCTGGCCCGGCCGGGTTCAAACTTGCCAGCCTCGGTGTATGTGGCTGGCACCAAAACCACTGTGCTACGGGCACCGAGCCATCCACTCCTCTTTTCAACTTACACTCCTCAACCAAATAAATCTTTAAAGATATTGTTTCCGTCATGTCAGTCTACTAATAGAAAACAAAAAAGAAATCCAACTGATTCAAAGGGCAAGGAACAGTCCTTTCAACAAATGGTACTGACACAAATAGCCACGTG